CTCTTCAGTGGAGTTACACTGGTAGTTAAAACAAATGACCTCAGCGCTCTTTATTGCTCCCAGTCCATTGGCGCTGGCACTGTGAGGAATCAGGACCTATTGCTAATGCTGTGGGGAGTTAGTCCTCAGCTAATGCATACCAGCCCCATCCGACACCATCTTCAACTGAACATACATAGGTTTATAAAATGCCAGACTCTGTACTAATATCATCTCATCCACTAGGATAGTTATCATTATTGGTCCTGTTTTACAGATAAGAAGACTAAGGCTTGAACAGGTCCATTACTGATTTAAGATCACAAAGCTAGTCACTAGGAGAGACTAAATTTAAGCCCAAATCTCTTTTACCTAACTTAGGATAAGGAAGGGAAAAAAATAGAAATTATTTCAAAAAGGAGATTTAGTGAATGAATGAATGGAAGTTAGTTGGTAACTATGATGGAATGTGGGTGATGTTACTGCAGGAACAGATACAAGTGCCATGGAGATAGATCTTAATGATCAAATAGCAATTTTTTGAGAGCTCCGAAATGGACAGGATGGGATTCTCAGTGGCCAGAATAACTTTGGCAGGAACATACAGGTTATAAAACACCATACATGTTCACAGAACCATGAGTTGGTCTGAAAAAAGAATTTGCTCAAGGTGAAGAGATGTTAAAGCTATGGTTTTTCCAGTAGTCATGTATGGACGTGAGAGTTGGACTACAAATAAAGTTGAACACCAAAGAATTGATGCTTTTGAACTGTGGTATTGGAGAAGACTCTTGAGAGTCCCTTGGACTGCAAGGAGATCAAACCAGTCAATCCTAAAGGAAATCATAATATTCATTGGAAGGACTGATGCTGAAGCCGAAGCTCCAATACTTTGGCTACCTGATGTGAAGAACTGACTCATTGAAAAAACCTTGATGCTGGGAAATATTGAAGGCAGGAAGAGAAGGGGTCAAAAGAGGATAAGATGGTTGGATGGCATCACCGACTTGATGGACATGAGTTTGAGCAAGCTCCGGGAGTTGGTGATGGACAGGGAGGCCTGGCGTGCTGCAGTCCATGGGATTGCAAAGAGTTGGACATGACTGAGTGACTGAATTGAACCAAACTGAACTGAAGAGATATTAACAAAAATGAAAATAATAACAAATGAAAAGAAGGGTCTAAACAGCATAATAGTCATGCCACAAAAAGTTAGCATGGGGAACAGGAACAGGAGAGAAAAGAAGAGGATGAGGAAGCCTGTTTTTTAATCCCCCTTCATGTTTTTCCATGTTTTAAAAAATGTAAATGCTCACTTTGTTATCTAGTGCAGGACAATCAGTGCATCTTTCAATAATTTTGGTGTTGGGCAGAGATGAGGAAAATAGGTAAAGATAAAGAATTAGTTGGGTCAAAGTCACCCAATTGACCAATTGGATCCCCAAACTCAGGTCTTCTGACTCCTACCCCTAGGGATCTTCCAGTGGTCAGGCTGGCCTTGGGGGTACCATGTTAGCACTCAGGCTAAGCCTCTGGGAAGCCTCAGAGTAGCTTTGCAGAAGAAAGTAGGGACTAGGATGCTTCAGAAATAACTCAAGGCTTATATATTTTCAATTAGTTCTGGAAATGTCCACAGTCATCTTAGCTAAATCATGTTTTTTCACATGCTGACTCTTTTGTCTGCTCTTGATCATTTCCCACTGTCCATCAAACCTGAGATATTTCCTATATAAACTTGCAGGATCATGGAGTGGTTTACCTCTGGGTGCCATCATCTGGGTCTCTGCCTCCTCAGTCTTTGGAGTCTTAGATGTCAGTGGGCCCCATTCCTTGTTCTAGGAGCAATGTTTTATCACTTTGGACATGACCTCAGTAAAACTGGTCCTAGAACTCTGAGTCCTCGGCATACAGTTCTACTTTTCCTCCCATAGTGGATGCTGTGGTTCCTTTTAGAACCAAGGTGCTCTAGCTACCCAGTGTTGCCACCTACTTCCCACAACTGAGCCTTCCCTGGAAATTGCTTTCTGTCAAAGAGACTTCCTTGCCCAAGGTCATGTCCCCTCCCCAGAGAGGCTCACGTCTAATGACTGCCCAGATCCAATATCACAGTTCCAGACAACCATTCATAGCTTTTCAGTTCTCCAGATTTCCCTGTGGCATCAGTTAGGCCCATACTTGTAAACGCAGCCCTTTGCCCAGTCCTGCTTCCCTTCCTTAAAGGGTACCATTCTTGAGAGCATGCCTGAAAAACTCATCACCTGAAAAATCTCCTCTCTAGATTAATTTTTCAAAAGAACTGATATATGGCATTCCCATCTCTCTAGATTTATTGTGACTTCTGTGTTGGCTTTGTAGTCACCTGTCCCATAACAAAAGAAAAACAAACTTTGAGGCGTTCAGAGACCAAGTTTTTGGTGGATTACACACGTCAGGTAAGGTCTGCAGTCCAGTTTCGCCATCTTCTTGACCTGAAAGAAGAAATTTATTATCCCTATGTACTTATTTCTTCTCATTCAAAATAGATAATAACCTATAGGTTGGGGGTGATGGGGAAGAAAAATGAACAGATGGCTAAGCAAGTCCTGGAAGACCATTAAGTTCAATGGGAACACTTAAACTCTGTGGTGAAAGCTCTGAAATCTAGGGCCCCATAAGACTGAGGTTCTACAGCCCACTTCCTTGGAGGTAGTTTTGAAAATACCCTTTGCTTCATTTCCTGTGGATTGTGCAACCACAGAATTCCTCTAGGGACTCAGCCACACCCCAACTCTTAGCCTAAATCACTGAGTTTGACACAGATTCACAGGAATTTGGCAAGGAGCTCACCCAATTTTTCTATCTCAAATTGAATCCAAATGTTGCCTAGGTTGGCCGAGAGTTCAGTCGGAAGAGAAGGAGGCCCAGGCCCATCAACTGCTAAATGGTGATATTTGAAACTCAAACAAGTTTGGCTTGGCTTTAAGAGTCAGAGGAAGTTTCAAGCCATAGTATATGATATAAGCCCTGGTCCAACTCAAAATGGTTTCCACTTTTTTCTGTTCTTGTTTCAAAGAACTGGATCTGCTGCTAAGGTACACAAGTCACTGTGCTCATTCCAGATGCCAAGGCCATTAGCAGGGAACTTCAGGCTCCTATGGGGTCAAGGCATAGTGGAGAAGTAAATTCTCATTCCCTGATACTTGAACTCCCTCTGTAAGAGAGCAACGGAGGATGGAGAGGGGGGAATGTTGGAGAAGAACTAGGGAAATCCCTTGTTCAGCTCCGGTAAAGAGTCCAGCATGGAGTTGGCTCCTCTGATTGAATTCTCCCTCTTTTCTCTGGGTATTCAGAAAGTGCTGGACTCCTGCTTCCTGGAGTAGTGACAGTGGCTATTACATGGAGCACTGATTTGGGCAAAACTGTAAGTTAGGGAGACTTAGGTTTTGCTGCTCACATAAAACTTTCTATCATAATTTCTCCTTTAAAACTTCTTATTGAAAAAAACTTTTTTTTTCACCCCAAAATCTTCCATCACAATATCCACTGTTTTCAGGCCTCATCTACTCCTTCTCCATGGCCCTAGCACCCAACCACTGGGCTGGCCTTTCCCAAGCAATGTTACTTCCTCTGGACCTTGCTCCCTACCCGACCCACACACTTTTCTTCACCTGATCCCTCTCTATCTCCCACCACAGTTAAGATTCAGCTTTCATAGATACTGTCTCCTAAGGCCCTATGAGCAAAACTCTGGGAGATGGTGAAGGACTGGGAAGCCTGGCAGGCTGCAGCCCATAGGGTGCCAAAGAATCAGACACAACTCAGTGACTGAACAACAACTTGGGAAAACTTTAATAACCATAACCCACTAAACTGTTGTCAAGATATGTATGTGTCTGGATCTTGTCACTTACACAGCAAGGAACATCAGGTAAGTCATTTTCATTCTTTAAGCTTCAGTAACTTCACCTCTAAAATAGAGATGAGAAACACTTAACCCATAGGGTCTCAGATTAAAATGAACTCCCATCAAAAATACCTCTTGGTCTTCCGAACTAAGATGAAGTACCCCTTCTCTATGCTGCTCTGCCAACCTGTAATTCTTGTAATTCAAGAAGCATGTAACTTTGCATCTGAATTGCCTTTTTTCTCTGGGGGCAAGGACTATAGCTGATCACACTTGAAGGCTAGTGCCTCACACAATGTCAGGCATGGAGTTGGTGCTCCAAACGTGTGTGTTCAATGCATGGGCCACCTCTGAGAGCATTTATAAATAGCCGAGGTTGTTTCTCCCAGAGAGCGTGTTTATATTGGAACAGGGTCCTTTTGGGACCACGTCTTTCCTGGAGGAGAGACCATAATGGAAATGTCAGGTGCAGGGTGATATTTGAAAGCAGGTGGAGTTCATGTTGCCCCTTGAATAACTCCATGTAGGTGGCCTCTTGCAGGCGTCCAGCTGGCCCTGGGCCTGTGCACCTGAAAGGCGATATATGAGACTCTTGAAATTTCCTGCTCCAATTCAGTGAAACCAGTTTGGCTCAGTTTTCACCTCCAAGCTGGGATCAACTCTTGCCCAAGTGTGGAGAGAAGAGAAGAGATGTTTCGCTCCCTCCCTTGACTTTTTCTCCTTGCCTCAACTCCTCTCTTCTCACATTATTTATGGAAGCTTAAACTAGATTCCCAGGGCAAAGTCCTGCCCTGGTCGCCAGCAGCCTGCACAGCTGCGGGCTCTGCCACTGCTCATAGCCACTCACAATGGGTACCAAAAGTCCCTGGTGGGGGTGCACCACATGCTGGGAGGAGGTGAAGAGGAATGGGATGCAGGGCACATGTGATGTGGGAGACGCCCATGTTCACCGAGCAAAGTGATGTTGTACAGAAAGCCTGCCTCTGTTAATGAGCCTGGTAGAAGGACAGAAAGGAAATGGACTACTTCTGTTATGCCTTTGGGGAAATGGTTTTCCATGTGTCTGTCTCACATTTTTTACGTCTGGCAAGCAGGAGCGGTGACTGCCTTCGTTCCATCTTTTCAAGGATGTCTCTACAGCAAATAGCATCGAAAGAAAGAGCCTGGAGCACAGGGCAGGTATGCTGACTCTTCATTGGACAAAACTAGGGTTCTCTAAGCTCGGGCTCCTCTCCTGTAATACACCACACAGTGCACTCAGCCATCACCTGGCTCTATTCCCATTGCCCTGTGGAATTAGGACCTGGGGAAGCAACGCAAATATGATGCTACTCATGTTGCTTGCTGCACTACAAGTAATCAAATCCTTCTTCTCTGATCTAGGAGAGACTCGTGTGTTTTTTTCAGCATCCATGAAAACATGTCAGGTTAACTTGTAAGCTTAATAGTACTTAATGTTTCAGATCCTTCACAGTTCTTGACAAGCCTCTCTCCTCTCTGCATAGAGGCAGCAATGAAAGAATTCTACCCTTTATGGGGTTTTGGGAGCCCTATCTGTCCTGTGAAAGGCAGAGAGAGAGAGAAAGATAAAAGAGAATCTATTGATTGAATGTCCTATTTGCCACACTGGACTGGGTTAAGCTGAGTCTTTCATCCATTAATTCATTTAACCTTCACAATAACCCTGAGAATAGGCATATCCTACCCATTTTGCAGATGAGGAATCCTAGCTTCTGTGAGGTGAGGTGACTTTCCAAGGTCACACCCAGGTTAGATGTAGATGCGGAACTTAAACCTAGACCTGTGTTTGCTAGAAGAGCCTCTGACTCCACCATTCTGGAAAGTCAGTCAGTTCTTTCTGTTGATTAGGTCACCAGCCCAAGATAACTTGAAGATGCCAGCAAGACTAAAATCATTCCTCTCCCCATGTCTGTCATCTGCCTCGTGATTTTGCCTAGTTGTACCCCTGGATATTCCCCTTTACTCCCAGCTTAGCAGAGAACTTCTTACTTTTTAAATTGGCTCTAGACTCCTACCTTCTCTTTTTCTAGGACCCCAGCCTCCCACTGATGTCAGGCTTACTCTTTAGCCTTGATCTTCTTGATCCTGGCTACTGCCCTGTTTTTGTTTTTTGTTTTTTTTTCCTACTCAGAAGGAAGGATGTGAAACAATTTCTCTGATATCGTACGGAACCCATAACACTCTCCAGACTTCACAGTTCTAAAGAATCTTGTTTGGTTTTCAGATGTGACTGGAGTGATTTGCGCCCGGATGCTTAGACTGGCCATCTGCTCAGAGGCTGCTCAGGAAGACCCGCCCATGTGCTCTTCTGTCGCAGACTAGCCTGCTCTGCCTGTAGCTGTGGGTTTCCAGGACCTCGTACGTATGCCACACTGTTTGAAGCCGAGCTTCAAGGAATCACGAGAGCATTTGCCTGGACCTGCTACACAGCCTAAATGCAACATGAGCTGACCTTGTCTTATAGGAAGTGGGTCAGGGAACAGGCATGTTTTTGGTGCAGTGTCGGCTTCCCAGGTGGCACTAGTGGTAAAGAACCTGCCTGCCAATGGAAGAAACATAAGAGACACAGGTTTGATCCCTGGGTCGGGAAGATCCCCTGGAGGAGGGCATGGCAACCCACTCCAGTATTCTTGCCTGGAGAGTCCCATGGACAGAGGAGCCTGGCTGGCTACAGTCCATGGGGTCACAAAGAGTCAGAAACGACTGAAGCGACTTAGCACACACACAAGTGTTTACCAGTTAAAAGGGGAAAGCAACAGGCAGTTGAAGTGCACATATGAGGACAAGGGATTCAGACAAATGAACAGCCCTTTCCACTGAGAGGGTCTGCTGAGTTCTCAGGCTTCGGGACGTCACCGCTGCTTCCTCTGTCTCAGGCTCAGTGGCAGTGGGTCACCAGGTTCTTAGGGGAGCTTTCATGAGGGTTAGAGTTCACTCATAAAAAGAAATGTTGTGAATTATCTAAATGTTTGAACAAGGATATATATATTTCTTCATGGAATAGGCTGAGTTCAGCAACAAACTGACCTACCTGACCTAAATCTAATGCTCTGAGGAAGAAAACAGCCACCTACACGAGAATACCATCCAAACACTCAATTAGCCATGGATATTTTAAAGCACTTATCAGCACTGCCTAGACTCAGGGTAAGCAAATTTTGAAATAAAAAGAAAAGGATGAAGAAACATCAACCATGGTTTATGGAGCTCATAACCTAATGCAAGAGAAAGATAGTCATACTTGAAATAACCTATGCCAGACTGTAGGTGAAATTACACATATGAGAAGCAGAGATGATAAACAGATGCTGCAAAAGTTGTGAAAAAGTATCATTAGTCTTCTAGTTACTAAGCCTCTAAATTGGGGTGACATTGAAAACCCACATCTATTTCAGTCCCACACAGACACCTCAAAAATCCTTCTTACAGCCTCCTCTTTCTCCTTTCCGAACCTAACATCTGCACCTTTAAGTTTTTATCAATTTATATTTAATTCATTTAATTCATCTGTCTCCTTTTTGGCCTCTTCCCACTTTAATTCATGGGGAGTGCAAATTAAGCTTCAGAAAGGACAACTCCTCTTTTCCTTCCCTGTCCAAAACTCTCCTGGATACTAATTTCCAAGTTGAAATAAAATAAAAATTTGAGGATTGGCTTGGAAGAAGAATCCAGGTTTGAGATCATCCGGGTTTAGTTCTAGGATGGTAACAGTGGAAAAGGGAAAGAAAGAAAGGAAAAGAGAAGCAAGATTTGATATTTGGAAGGTAGGAGATGACAGCAAATAGCATTACTAAGAACTATGGGCTGAAATCCAGAAGACTGGAAGGTGGGCAGAGGGCAAATATAGAGAAGAGCACGTTTCCAAGGAGAGATGCTGAAGTGAAGAGATACAGGGCTTTAGTAACATCATCCACTGTCCGGAATGCACTGAATAGGACCTCGGAGGTGTTCAGTAGCTGTTTGTTGAATGAATAAATAAAAAAAAGAGTGAATAGCCCTCTTAATTTTGTCATATTCATTGCATTTTATCTTTAGAACAACTCTGTTTGGTGGTTACTATTATTACCTCTATGTTACTGATCTCTAAACCGAGGCTCAGGGTGGTTGTATGATTCTTCCAGGATCCCACAGTGATGAGTGGCAGTGCTCAAAAGTGAAGCCAGATCAGTGCAAGGTTGAAATCTATCTGTCATGATGTCCTCTGGAAATATCTGAGTCCAGCACACAAAAAAATTGGGGCTGGGAAGATAGGTCACAACTATCTGTGGGATTTGTTTACAAAAAGGTGATTGTTCATAATTGAACCCAGGACCATGAATGAGACCCTAGAGAATTGTTGTAAATGCCTTTGACCTGAGCAATGGAGAAGCCCAAACTTACAGAGATAAGGGAAGAAAGAGAAACCCCTGAGAACAGCAGAGAAAATCAGAGGAGAACCAACAGAAAAAATAATGGATGTAAGAGAGAAAGGAAATTTGTTGTAAATATAGGGTCCGCAAAGTCAAAACCTGCAGGAGTGTCTCTGAAGGGAATGATGAGGCAGTATGGTTTGAGTGAAAGAGGGAGACACCTGGACCACATCAGATCATCTGGGTTAAAACCAGCCATTGCTTTAACCTTGAGCAAATTGCTTAACTATATGAAATCTGTTGCTTATCAAATGGCCATTATACATAGAATAAAGGACCTAATACCAGGCTTGGCATCATGGAGCAGATAGCTGACATTTATAAGGCACCAGGTACTGATCTAAGCATTCAATTTATACTGATTCATTTAGGCCATATAACAACCTTGCTGCATGCATGCTAAGTCACTTCAGTATTGTCCAACTCTGTGCCACCCTATGCACTATAGCCTGCCAGGCTCCTCTGTTCATGGGATTCTCCAGGCAAGAATCCTGAAAAGGGTTGCCACTTCCTCCTCCAGGAGATCTTCCCAACCCAGGTGTTGAACCCACATCTCTTAGGTCTCCTGCATTGGCAGGTGTGTTCTTTACCATCAGCACCATCTGGGAAACCCAACAACCTTGCTAGCTGGGTTCTGTATTTGTCAGCTTCAATTTGTAAATGAGGAGACACAGGTTTAGAGAGTTTAAGTAATTCCTTAACAGCTTGTGAGTGATAGAAGCTGGTGTTTAAACCCAACCATTCTGTTCCTAGAGTCTATGCTCTTAACCACCACATTTTGCTGAACTTTGTTGAGTAAATTACCTCTAGGTCTTTTCCCTTCAAGAACAAGTGAGCTACATTAATTTTTGAAAGTAGGAAGATTAAAAGTATTTGACTTGGGGTGAGCAAATGAAGTATTATAGGCCAAATATGGTGAGGCCCACAAGCTAATAATTTTTTTTCAAGTGGTTGAAAAAAATTTTAAATAATATTTTGAGACATGTTAAAATTATATACAATTTAAATTTTAATTTCCACCAATAAAGTTTTATTGGAACACAAGTATATCCATTTATGTGTCTCTAGGCCCATTTTGTGCTATAAGAGCAACACTGAATAATTGTGAAAGAGACCCTAAAACCTCCTAACCCTAAAATATTTACTATCTGACACTTTGCAGGAAAAGTTTGCTGATTCCCTACTATAACCAAAAACTCTTTGGCGAATGAACAGAAGTAGATTTAAGAGCTTGAATTTCTCAGCAATATTGTTGCCCTTCACCCCTCCTCTCAGCGCCTGGATGGACCGCTCCCACACCTGCACTGCATTAGGAGCTGGGGGTGGGCGTGGGGAGGAAAGAAACCTCTGACCCAGTAGTTTGTTGCATTTCCTGGGTGGAGGAGGAAGGTGGAAGGACTCTCGCTGGTGAAGGTGAAGCTTTCCGTTTCAGTCCTGAATCACAGCCAGTTGAATTTATCCCTTTTTGGCTGTGGAATGGTAACTTTTAATGCCAATAGTAAGTTCAGATGCTCCACGGTCAGGGGAGGAGAGGCCTAGCTAAGGCACCTTAGAGGTGTCTTCTCTGAGGCCTACACCAGGAGCCCGAAGCTTAGACGTGTCCCAGATGTCTACCTGGCATTCACTGGGGAATGACCATGCCTCTAGGACACTGTATGGGGTCGGGAGCCAGTTCACCTGGGTTCTAAGCTGAGATTTGTCAGCAAACCTCCAGCATGATGGCACCAGGAGGATTTCTTCCCTTCCACCTTGCTTAACATAACTAAATGAAAGTCAGATGCTTATCAGCTTCTTCAGCGTGTTCTTGCATTCAGCCTATAAGGTAACAGGTATACAAGAGGGTGATAAAAATGACAGGAATATTTTAGCTTTTTTTCTTTAATGTTCTGAAATTGTGGCAATATATCTATGAATGTTAAGTCACTTCAGTTGTGTTTGATTCTTTATGACCCTATGGACTATAGCCTGCCAGGCTGCTCTGTCCATGGGGACTCTCCAGGCAAGAATACTGGAGTGGGTTGCCAAACCCTCCTCCAGGGGATCTTCCTGGCCCAGGAATCAAATTCCACATCACTTAGGTCTCCTGCATTGGCGAACAGGTTCTTTACCACTAACACCACATTGTAACATAACATTTATCATTTTAACCGTGTTTAAGGGAACAGTCCTGTGATATTAAGCACACTCACACTGTTGTGTAACCATCACCACCATCCACCTCCAGAATTGTTTCGTCTGCCCCAGCTGACTCTGTAGCCACTAAACAGTAACTACCTGTTTTTCCTCCCTCCAGAGACCAACAACCATCTCTTCCTGCCACTTTGAATTAGATTTCTCTGGATATCTCAGGTAAGTGGATCCATTCATTATATGTCCTTTTGCATCTGGCTTGTTTCATTTAGAATGACGTTTTTAATGTTCATCCATGTTGTAGCACGTGTCAGTTTCTTTCCTTTTTAAGGCTTATCAAATAAAAGGCTGGTATTTGATTTATATAATTTTGTTTATCCGTTCATCCGGCAGTAGACACGAGAGTTTTCTATGTTTTGATTGCTGTGAATATAATGCTGCTATTAACATGAGCATAAAAATATCTAAGTCTCTGATTTGACTTCTTTTGCATATATATCCCAAAGTGGAATTGTTGGGTCATGTGGTAACTCTTTAATTTTTGGTGAAACAAGCATACTATGTTTCATAATGGCCGCACCATTTTGCATGCCCACAAGCAGTGCACAATTTTCTTACATCCTTGCCAATAATTCTTATTTTCTCTTTTGTTTTTTATCTATATCTTTTTTAAGAGTAACCATCTTGATGTAAAGTGGTATTTCATTGTAGATTTGCAATTTCCTTGGGATATTGAGCATCTTCTCGTGTGCTTGTTGGCCAGTTGTGTGTCTTCTTTAGAGAAATGTCTGTTCAAGTTGTTGCCCATTTTTAAATTGGATTGTTTTTGATGATTGTTGAGTTGTCAGAGTTCTTTCTACCTTCTGAATATTAACCTTTTATCAGACATATGACATGTAAATATCTTTTCCATTCCATGGGTTGCTTTTTACTCTTGATAGTGTTCTTTGTGTAAAACTTTTTGATTTTGATATAGTCTAATTTATATTTATATTTGTATTTGATATAGTCTAATTTATAATCTATTTTTCTTGTAGTTATTGCCTGTGTTTCTGGTATTATATCCAAGAAATTATTGCCAAATGCAATGTTATAAAGCTTTTCTCCTATGTTTACTTCTAAGAGTTTTATGATTTTAGCTCTTACATTTAGGTCTTTATTCCATTTTGGATTGATTTTTATTTGTGGTATAAGGTAAGTGTTCAATTTCATTCTTTTGCACATGGATGTTCAGTTTCCCTAACAACATTGGTTGAAAACAGTGTCCTTTCTCCACTGAATGGTCTTGGCACCCTTATCAAAAATTTTTGACCGTATATGTAAGGGTTTATTTCTGAGTTGGCTTGATTTTTTATATTAGCAGACATGTCTCTTCAATCAAGACCTAAGTTGTATAAACTTTCCACAGATGATCTAATTAAAGAATCAATGCATTCACCCTATCAGAACCTTGGTTGTAGCTCATCTCATGTTAGCATTTCAAATGTGTGAATCTCTATCACCACTAGTTTGAGAGTTCCCAGAGAACAGGAACTCTCTTATAACTCAAATTTAAACTTAATCTGTATGTTTTGTTTGTCTGTTATGTGTCCAGTATCATGAAAACAGTAATGATAAACTTTTCATTTAAGAGCTTGCAAATTAGTAAACATATGGATATTTTCTTGTAAGAAGAATACTCCAGAAGATAAAGCAGGAGTACAAAAATGGACATGGTGACATCCAGTGCCCAGCATGGTTCCGTAACTGCGTCTTGGAGAAGAGAGAGAGCTTCCTTAGAAGTGGTCATACTTCTGCTGTATTTTGAAGAATGAGTAAGAGTTTGCCTGACGAAAAAAAGGCAGAGGTCATAGGGACATTCAAAACAGAGGAATGTCCCACACCTGTCGATTTGGAGTGTGGGCCAGAAACATGGTTGTTGGAAGACTGCTACATACATTATGAGGCCAAGAGGGGTGGGAGAAGAGCCTAGAGGTGTAGGCAAGTGATTGGGCCCAGAATTTAAACTTTATTGTGAGTGCGATTGGGAGAATTTACATGTCTGTCCCTTAGCACCTATCATTGTTTATTGAACTGATTTTAGTCTACAGAACAGTGTTTTGTGTTTCTTTTCCTTCTCAAACATTTCCTGTGTCTTTTTTTTTCTCCTTTTCTTTTTTTCCCCTTTTCCCTCTTTCTAATATGATTTTGATGGCTTCGCTATTTTTTCTCAGATCAATGTCTCAACTACAGAAGAATATAAACTATATTGGGGCTTGAATTTAGACAAAAAACAAAGAAGTGAACTCTTACGAGAAATCATTGAAACGACTTAGGTTAGGCTCAGCTGAACTTCCAAATGTGTTTCAAATTAGGTCGTCTCAACCATGACTGCAAGTTCAAAACATTCAAAGCAACCTTATTGGAATTGGAACAAGGCATATTTGGTTTCCTTTAAAGGATTTTTAAAAGTGGAGTTAAGAGCAGAGATCGCAAATGTAAAAATACATGAAAAGAAAGCCCGTAAGCAAATTGTCCTCATAACAAATGGCATTAAAACTTCCAAACTCTCAAAAGCTATGGTCTCTTAGGAACATCTCACTTGTTGGAACAAAGCCTGTGCGGCACCCTGATTTATCTGGGCAGGGCCACTCAGGTCCTAGTGAGCCGAGGAAGCATTTGGAACCACCAAAACACATGAAAGGTCTAGGAACCCAGGTTTTGCTCTTATTTTATACAACATACAAGCAAACTGGGTAGTCCAGTTTATCACGAGCACAGAAGAGGAATAGTATATATAGGTCACCAAAAGAGAGATGTCTAGAAATGGGCCCAAGCTCAAGGATTCTTTTGAGGGGAAAAAAAAAGTGTTGGTTTGACAAGGAGAAGACAGAAAAATTCAAAGTAAAAACCTACAAACTACAGAAGAAAACCCACTTACAACATACAAAGCATCCTTGAATTATTTAGTAAGGAAAAAGAGGCCTACACCCCCCAGGAGTCTCTGGTCCATTGCCAAAGGAAGGTACAGAATCAAAACTGATGTTCATAATGATTCCTTACCTTCATACAGTTATACCTGTACTTTAAAAATTTAGGCCCACAAAGTAGTAAAGATGAGCTAGTCTGGAAAACTTACTTCTCCAGAGATAACTGTACCTCATTCTGCCATGATGCCAGTTAAATGAAGCATCAGATCACCTCACCTAATATTAGCATAATTGCCTACTTAAACCAAAAGCCTTTATAATTAGAGACCTTATATAATTTTCCCATAGCCTAAAATATGATCTTAGTCAAGTCTCAGTCTCCTTATCTAAAAAAATGATGATGATACTAAGTATGTCATAGATCTGTTGTGAAGACAAAAAGATAATTAGTGTGTGATAACCAGCAACTTACATAGTCAACACTTCCTAAGTGCTAAATATGACTACTTCTAGTACAACTATTGTTGATCTTTTAAACAAATTTTATTTATGTTTTGATTGTGCCGGGTCATCATTGTTTTGTGTGGACTTTTCTAGTTGAGGCGAGTGGAGGCTGCTCTTCTCGTGGCCCTGGCTTCTCTTTTGGAGCGCAGGCTCTAGGCACAGGCTTCAGTAGTTGCAGCTCACGGGTCCTGTAGTTGAAGCTCATGGGCTCTAGAGTACAGACTCTGTAGTTGTGGTGCACGGGCTCAATTGCTCTGTAGCTTGTGGAATCATAGTTCCCCAACCAGAATCAAACCTGCATTCCCTCCATTGGCAGGCAGATTCTTATCCATTGTGCCACCAGGGAAGTCCTGTTGTTGATCTCACAGGACTGTACTTGGGTTCTTATCCTGACTCCACCATTTATGACTCAGTGTACATAAGTTTGAGCAAATTCTAGGAGATAGTGAAGGACAGGGAAGCCTGGCATGCTGCAGTTTGTGGGGTACCAAAGAGTCGGACACAACTTAGTGACTGAACAATAGCAACAACCATGATGAGCCATAAGATCTTGAAAAACTCATTTTATTTCTTTCTGCTTCAATTTTCTCATCTGAAAAATGAGAACAAGTTGTGTAATAGCCACCTCAGGGGTTGCTACAAGGATTAATGTGATACTATATGAAACATGCTTAAGTTAGGGCCAGGCACAGAGTAAGGATTTAAATGGTTCAGTTCAGTCACTCAGTCGTGTCCAACTGTTTCTGACCCCATGAGTCACAGCACGCCAGGCCTCCCTGTCCATCACCAACTCCCAGAGTTTACTCAACCTCATGTCCATTGAGTCGGTGATGCCATCCAACCATCTCATCCTCTGTCGTCCCCTTCTCCTGCCCCCAGTCCCTCCCAGCATCAGGGTCTTTTCCAATGAGTCAACTCTTCACATGAGGTGGCCAAAGTATTGGAGTTTCAGCTTCACCATCAGTCCTTCCAATGAACACCCATGACTGATCTCCTTTAGGATGGTCTGGTTGGATCTCCTTGCAGTCCAAGGGACTCTCAAGACTACAGCATAATTTAAATAGTATTATCTGTAATTATAATGCAGCTTCTTCAACTGAAGAAGCTGAAGTTGAACGGTTCTATGAAAACCTATATGACCTTCTAGAACTAACACCCAAAAAAAGCTGTCCTTTTCATTATAGGGGACTGGAATGCAAAAGTAGGAAGTCAAGAGATACCTGGACTAACATGGAAATTTGGCCTTGGAGTACAGAATGAAGCAGGGCAAAGGCTAACAGAGTTTTGCCAAGAGAATGCACTGGTCATAGCAAACACCCTCTTCCAACAAGACAAGAAGACTACACATGGACGTCACCAGATGGTCAACACCAAAATCAGATTGACTGTATTCTTTGCAGTCAAAGATGGAGAAACTCTATACAGTCAGCAAAGACAAGACTAGGAGCTGACTGTGGCTCAGATCATGAACCCCTTATTGCAAAATTTAGACTTAAAGAAAGTAGGGAAAACCACTAGATCATTCAGGTATGACCTAAATCAAATCCATTATGATTATACAGTGGAAGCGAGAAATAGATTTAAGGGATTAGATCTGATAGAGTGCCTGATGAACTATGGACGAAGGTTTGTAACATTGTACAGGAGGCAGTGGTCAAGACCATCCCCAAGAAAAAGAAATGCAAAAAGGCAAAATGGTTGTCTGAGGAGGCCTTACAAATAGCTGAGAAAAGAAGAGAAGCTAAAGGCAAAAGAGAAAAGGAAAGATATACCCATCTGAATGCAGAGTTCCAAAGAATAGCAAGGAGAGATAAGAAAGCCTTCCTCAGCAATCAGTGCAAAGAAATAGAGGAAAACAATAGAATGGGAAAGACTAGAGATCT